AGTTTTGAATATTATTGCACAAAAAATATTTTACAAAAATTACTGTTATTTTCTTTGGGCCAAGAAAAAGTTTCCACCTTTCTCTATATCCAAGAAAGAAATTCAAATATGTTCACCTTTTTTTATTAATTTCAAACCGTCCATGGATGACCTAAAAATTCTATAAATGCACATATTATTATAAAGGTTTAAATCCATATGTAAATTTCATTCAAAAAGATTTTAATAATTTGTTTCGATTAAGCATCTATGCAAAACTTCTTATTAAATACCTTCTGTTCAATTCTTTTCACAAAAAGATATTTTTTTTCTTGTCTTTTAAGTGTTCATCACATAAAAATCTTAGAAGTTCAATTAATTATTTAGACTTTTACCTTATCAATAAGGGTTCGATTTAATCTCCTCCCTCATTTTTCTGTCCCACATCCCAAAAAGTCTATTACAAAAATACAAGTTAACCACTTTAACTCTTTAAATTATACTCCTCATTTTTCCTTCCTATAACCCTATTTTATCTTTTATTAAGATTTTTTTTTATTATGTAACATTATGTAAATAAGTTAATCACTTAACTCTTTTAATTATAGATAATAACCTCAATATATCTTATGATTTAGACCAAAAATATCTAACAACGCTTAATTCTTGTTCAAACACTCAACAAGACCACGACTTAATTAGAATGTATAAATAAAACTTATCGATAAGTTTAAACACTAATTTATGTGTATTAAACCTATTGTAAAAGTTACTATTTACAAAATAATTACTAGAAATGCTAATGCAACAATGAATAAATATCCAAGAAACCATTAACCATAATTAAAATTAACCAAAATGAAGATGTTCATTCAATCTATTAATATTTCACATTATCAACTATATGGTATTTTACATTTGGCCAAAAAAGATAAACCTAAATATTTCTTGGAATTACTTCACTAAAAATTATTATTTTTAACCTAAACTACACCATAACTACATAAGCAACATTTAACATCAAAGATATATACAAAATGTGAAGAATAAGAAAAAACCAATGAAGGTGATCATTCAAAATTACTACCCAATATTTTACATTGTGAAGTAAAAGGGTATTTTACAGACCAGAAATTCAAAAAAAGAACTATTATGAGATGATTAAAGTGGAAATGGAGATAGAAAAAAAATTAAAAATAAACCAACCTCAAATATTTTCTTGAAAATTAATTCCAAAAAAATATTTTTTTATCTTTTTTTTTTAGGTCCAAACACTCCAAATCCTTTCACCAAGAAAACTCACAAACTTTCTCACAGAGCCCTTTTCAACTCCACCGGATTCTTCTTCATAACCGCCACCGCCGCCGGAAGTTTCCTCAACCGGGTCCGTCTGACCCGACCCGAATCCAGACACTGACCCGGACCCATTTTTGTTCAAAGATAGCTCAGATGATGATTTTTTCAGCTCAGCAGAAGACCCAACATCACCATTAGATGACCCGTTTTGTTTCAAAGACGACCCGTTTTGCTTCAGAGATGACCCGTTTTTGTTTCTTCGTTCTTTTTTACTCTTTTCCTTTTTGTTCTGCAACCCATCTTCATAAGCATCAAGAATTTCATGAATAAGCTGTCGATTTGGTGAAGAATCCCATTTTACCCAATAACTCATATAGCAGCTGAAACAATAGCAGTTAAATGAGCTCAAATGGTCAGCACCGCCATGAACGCCGCCGTGTACGGCGGCAGAAAAACTTTTCGAACCAGTACCACCACCGGCCTTTTCAGAACCTGAGTTGGGTGTAGCTGACTTGAAGTGGGTATTCCTCCGATTACCGGAAAAGTCGCCGGAAAGTTCGCCGGAAAAGTCGCCGGCGACAGGGTTTGAAGTTGGAGGAGGTGGGTTTGAGGTATTAGACTTGTGGGTAGTTCTCCGATTACCGGAAAAGTCACCGGAAGAGCAAGAAATGAGATAAGCTAAGACTTCTTTGTCTTCTTGAGATAAAGCTGCAGCAAGAGTGAGAATAGCAACTGGTAAGAATGAAAGTTGGTCAGAAATTAAAGGAGGAGATGGATGAACTGTGCCTTTTCTGTAAAGTTTCTTCATAGTTTTTTGATAATGGAAAAAAAAATGGAGTATTTTTTTTTTGAGAGCTTTGAAGGTGGGGTAGTTAGGTAGGGTGGGTGGTGTAGAGAAGAAGAGAAGAGAGAATGAGGGTTTGTGGCTTGTGGGGACTTTGAAGAGTTTTTGGTAAGAGGAAATAGGGCATAGAAATTGATGACATTATTTTTTGGGGGGCATAGTAAAATATATATATATATATATATATATAATATAGTTATTTGATATTAAGTTGAAAAAACTCTTTTAATTTATTAAAATGAATAAGTAAAACGAAATATTTGTTTTTAATATAGGGATCGAGTAAATGAAGCATAAGATATAGTAGTGGTTGTAGCCATATATCGATAAACCAAAATATATATTAATATTCAAAAAACTCACGTTTAGAATACAACAATAACATATTTAGTAAAAATTTCACAAAATTGAATTTGAAGAGGTTAGAGTGTACATAAATTTTACATGTATCTCGTGGAGGTAGATAGATGTTTTTTGAAAAATATATGAAATAAAGACGAATTTTAGTTTATTTCAATATATTAGACGAAATTTTAACCCCTTTTTTCGTTATAAATTTGTCAACAAACTTTTAATTTTGTTCAGTTTATTTGTCTTGTTTTTTTTTAGTTTGTTCTCGGAAGAATGCTTCTTCTCTAATTTAACAATTTATAATTTTAATATTTCACGTGAAATATTTAGAGACTAATATTAAAAATCAATACATGTATTTTAGATTTAAAATAATAAACTTAAAAAAAATTATTTTGTTAAATTTTGCACCTAATTAACTAAAATCATTAACATTAAAATGGAGAGAGTAACATATTAGTATTTAATTTAGGAAAAATCCTTTTGGCTAGAATGGTATTTTACCTATGTTATTTTTTCTTTTTGAACATTTTTATCCTTTTAACTTTAATACATTTTAACTAAAAACTGGAAAAAATCAGTTTATTTTTAAATGAAAAAGATATTATAATTTTTTAAATTTCTGACCAAATTTTTTGATCATTTAGCATTATCTTTTAATTTATATAGCCACTTAGGTAATGTTTCACTATAAAATAGAGCAAAGAGTTTTTTTTAGGGTGGTAGGGTATGTGGTCTGGGTGGGAGAGGGGGTTGCAACTTGTAACCTATGGGGAGTATTTTTTTATTTTTTTTTAAAGAGTTTAGGGCATCAATTTTAAAGAATTTTGATTGGTTATTTGGTTAATTTTGATTGGTCAATAGTGCTATGGGTTGGACCCTACTTGTTACAGAATCTAATGATCAAATCTTCTTTTTGCAGAATTTAACCTCTCCTTTCTCTCACTTCCCAATGAAGGGATGCATTTTTACTAGAAAAGAAATCTAAGAGCTAAATTTTACAACAAAAAAAAATTGAAAAATATAAAAGTTTATTCAATATTATGACCAAACAAATATTTGAAGATGAAGTTTTAAAATCTGATGGAAAAATCTATGACAGAATGCATTCTTAAGAAATATGATATATTCAATGTAAAATTGGTAAGAGTTTATTTGGATCGAATGTTTATATAACAATAAATAACATTTTCAGTGTAATTCTACAAATGGAGTATAGAAAGAAATAACATGTACACACCTTATTTTTCCTTTATAAAGTAGAGAAACTGTTTCCAAAACATTCTCAGTTCATATCGAATGTTTATATCTAAATATGTGTCTTTCATAATGCGCATTCACCAAAAAGAATTAAAATTAAAAATATTTTCACCCTAATTTTTAATTATTAAGATTAACATATTAATTGGTAGCATATAAACATAAGTATTTACAAGAAAAAATTGTAAAAACTTATCTGCTTCAATTTTTATACTCAATTTAGAAATGGAAAAATTGTTAATTGAAGCAAAGGGATTAAACTAGATAGAAAATTGGACCACATAGAAAAAAGGGATCAATAAATATATGGTAATTGTTGTGTCATTATAGTAAGGGGGGAATAAGAGGAGGACTTTGGTTATTTTTAGTAAAAACTACATTATTATTGTTTGGCAAATTCTAAAGCTTTTGGATGTACTATGAATAATTTGAGTTATTACTTATATGATTTTGGAAGAATTTTGTTGATAAGATTCAATCACAAGCAGAATACAAGTAAAATTATAAGCATGTCAACCTTTAATTAGAAATTTCGAATTTAATTCCTTAATTTGAAAACTTATACGATAAGAATAACTTTTCACATATAATGAATTTATTTGAATTTTCTTTTTTCATTCATGCGCTTAAACGTGAAATCTTTGATTAAGAGGTACCATCCATTCTATTATACTCAAAAGTGAAGCAATGATTTTCTCTTTTTCATGTTCGGTGCCAAATCCACTATTTCTTCACATACAATCATATGCCATAATTAGTAATTATGGTTACTAAAAACTTAGAATTATGAGTATCATTTTTCAAAATATAGTACACATATTTGACTTATCTATGTTTACAATTTCTTTTTAAATTGTGTTACGATTATTTCTTATATTTCAAAACACTCTATTTCGTTTAAATTTTGTTTTGTGAAATTACAGTGAATATGTTTCTTTAGAGCCTGTTTAGAAGCGTGGTATGATTACAAAACAGCAAAATAATTACATTGATATATTTGCTCGCTATAACATAATTACATTGTAATTTCCAGTGTCATGTTTGGTTAAACAGACATAATTAACGAAGTTAAAAGGGCAACCTTGAAACAAGGGTAAAGTTGTTTCCGTGTGTTCTATAATTCACACATTCAAACTGTGAAAAGGCACTAGTGCTCGCATCAGAGTAGGTTGCCTATATTACACACTTTGGGGTGCGACCTTTCCCGGACCTTAAGTAAATGAAGGATGCTTAATGCACTGGGATGTCAATGGATAGAAGTTAAAACTCATTAATCCCAACTATAGTCCAACAATTTTATTTTTTTTCGAAAAATTTCACAGCATTTCAACTATTTGTCCAATATTTCATAACTATTACAGTGGTTAATTGAGTGAAGAAAATACAGCAGAATATAAACTCTTTGCTACAATTTTGTAGTAATATATAAAGCAATCTCACCAGTCACCACACAAACAATTAAGCAACAAGTTTTGAGAATTCAGGAGTTTGCTAGAATGAATTTTGAATCGAATATCGAGTAGATCTTTTTAAGAGTTGCTCTGAAGACGAGTCTTGATCCATGATTCCAAGTTCTTCAACTCCTCGTTGTTTATCGAATGAGCAAGACGAGGGTAAGCCTAATGGATATGGTAGACAACAATGGATTATTGGTGATACGTTTGTGAAAAAAACAAAGTAAAGATGAACGATTTGAGAGACACGAGTGATTACCTTGAATTCGCAAGTCATACCAGCTCGTTCCAGGAAAGGCGGCCCTGCTTGTCCGGCTTCAAACAGTACAGTCTTATCAGCCATACCATGAGACCATAGAATAGGGGTCTGCTCGAAAGAGTTTTGATATTAGATACTATATGATAAGAAAACTAATCAAGAAACACAAATCAAGCGGTAAGAGGAACATGTCCCGATTCAAATCCTACCACAGACAAATACCTGGAATTTAAGTGGAGAATGATAGAGGGGTAGACAAATTATCCACCGAGTTTTGAATCATGCAACAGATAGCTCTCGGGGATTTCTTGGTTAGTAGAAAATAACTTTTGGAAATAACATGTCTTTCAATGCCACCACCATACAATTCTTTTTGTTAACAACAATGGTATTCAGCCCAGCTTACGGCACCTTGACTAGTTCCACGGGTACCTACTACCTCCCACCAACACAGAAAGCAGATAACTATGTCCACCAACCTTAAGCTAATGGAAAGAAATCACCTAGTATTTTTCTCCTGGTGAGATTTGACGTCACAATAGTTTATACTTAATAGATAGTTTATTTATCATAGTGTTCATATATACATCCTAAGTAGTGAAACAATTAGCAGATCAGGGATCATACTCCCTCCGTCCCAATTCAAGTGTCTTAGTTTGACTGCGCACGGACTTTAAATTAGGAAGGCGGGAGTAATAAGAAAGTCTTAATTGTTTGTACAGACTGAAGATACCGTCACAGCAACCAACTTAAGGAAAAGAATAACAAATGCCAACTTTGAAAAACAACTTCTAGAAAATTATAGAAGTTAGTATCAGACAACTACCTTTTTAGCTTCAGGAGTTTGTTGCTCTAATATAGAAGCGTTAAAGGGGACCCATCCGCTAAACACGGCACCTCCTCCAAGAGTTTTTGGGTAAAGAAGAACACTTGCTAACGTCAAAGCACCTACAAAATTAAGATTTTAAGTATAATTCGTGAGTTCCATTATTTAATAGCAATGCACAAACTTGCAACTGAGAGTGAAAGAGAGACCTCCTTGACTAAATCCGCATACAAAAACGTTATTAGGATTAGTGCCAGCTTCGATCTCTTTGTCGATCATTGCATGAACATTCTTAACTGCTTTGAGCAAATCACTCTCATCTTTTGGCGAACTCTGATACAAGGTATTAAATATTAAGTTATAAGGAGACAATATCAATAAGCGTAAGTACAACTGTCTTTGTTTCTGAAATTCTTGGACAACATAAGCACAGAATTTTGATGGAGGTAAGATAGACTAATTTTGGCATATATCATAATATTCAATGACATGCTGGTGTCGCATATGACTTCTATGAGACATGTTATTGTTAACTGCATATACGTTAAGTGGAAAAAGTATTCCATAAAACAAAGTTCTATCTTGGATATCTAAGTGTCATCCTTGCCGATAATGCAGCTGGGAAAGATTACATGGAGAAGTTGAGAAAAGAAAGGATGAAAAGAGATATGATGAATGAGTGACCAGTGTTATCGAAAGTAAAAGGCACAAAAAAGCTCTAAGGTTTGTTGGGGCTTTAAGCACAAATAAAGCATAGGCTGTAATGAACAAAAGTCCAAAGAGAGAAAAAGTATAAATATATCTGTTTAGTCCAAGATTAATACTAATTATAAGCATGAATAACAAATATATGAACAAAGAAATTGAATTTTTTTAACGATAAAGTGAAATATCAATTGTTTAGTGTGGCCTCATCAGAGGAGGCCTCTCATTGGCAAGGAAAAGTATGTCTTAGAACATAGATGACCACACTGAAGCACACATTAAGCGACGCGAAGCGCTCAACACGTTTTGGGCCTTGCTTTAGTGCTTAAGTGCACCTTTGGCAATTGGGAATGAAAGGGGTGAAAGAGAAGAACTTACATCTGACACTGGTAACTCATGAATGTCAAACCACGACGGCATGACAGAACCATCTGCAGTAAAGTAAGACAGAAGAGTTTAGATTTTAGATATTATCACCACTATTAGAGTGAAAAAGTGGGCAACGCTAGCCACATGCAATGAAGGGGAATTGAGTCTCCTTCACTGGGAAATGAAAAGAAAGGTCTGGTGAAAAAGAAAGCGAGACTGGCATTATAGTACTTCAGTAACCAAGATGGCGTTAAAAATCTTGTGTTCTTCTTAAGAACTCCCTTCCACCATTCTTAGATACTACATCATAAACTTCATGGAGAATGTTCTTTTCAAAAATATTATTGACATCATTGTCAATTGCACCTAGATCACCACCAAGCTAATCCTGTCCTTAAGAAGCTATAACTAACATCTTCATATGTAATTGTGCACTAATCACACTGCATATCCTATGTTTTCTTGACGATATCTGCATACGTCCAGAATGAGATGCAAGATTATCTACACTACTAGCTAAAGATATCCTTCACGGAAAGATTGCTTAGCATTATCAGTTTGCCTTTGTTGATGAATAACTTTCAGTATACAAAAGGCTATTTTCAACAATTTTTTTGGAACTCTCGAGCATTCATCTGTCTTTTTTTAAGCGCTAAAGCTTCTCATCTTTGCCTGTTAAAGATGGTTCACTTCCAAGAAATATCACACTCGAAAAGCTAAATCCCTATCCACAGGGATAACCTTCCCCCTTAAACCAACAACATCCCTCCCCCTTTTTACCGAATTGAATGAAAAAGCAAGGGAAATGAAAAGAACTAATAGGTTCCCCAGAAACTCATTGGGTTGATTTCCCAGAATCAACATATTCGTTGAGGAAAAACAAAACTACATCATTTGCTAAGTTTCACTTTACATTGAATATATTGTCCTTTTTTAATATTATTTGGGATCCTCACTACAAAATAGTACTGAGACCTATGTTGCCTGGACTCTCCAAAAAATGTTGCTGCACCCCTGTCGGATTCTCCAAAAGTAGTGCACTACTTTTGGAGAATCCGACACGCACCCGTCGCCATTTCTGAAGAGTCCAAGCAACAAGACTGAAACAGAAGCTGCACATAATTCGAAGAAACACTAGTCTACCCAGCTTCTCTCATCTCCTCGTACTGCAAATTCTCTTATAAGGACCCGCCATATATAACAACACCATTCACACCTCGAACATGAGCAACATTTCTGATTTAATCTGCCATAGCACATGGACCAAGTCTACATTGTAAGCAATCCCATCCACTAGACACTGAAACCAACTACTATAAAAATAACAACAATGCCTCAATCCCTACAAACCCCATCAAGGGGTAGGCCAAAATGAAACCTATATGCAATTGTGTTATACAAAATTCCAACAGAACTAATAGAAACAATTACAATACACAACCTGCAACACTAACAAAATTCAAGACTCTTGTGCGATAGATAATACTATGCAGAATCTGCAACATTAAACCAAATTCAAGACTCTTTGCAGTAAAAACAACAACTACGCTACTCCCTACAACCCCATCAATGGGTAGGCCAAAATGAAGCCTTTATGCAATCCTATTAAACCATTTGACCCTAAAACAACAATTCCAGCAGAAACAATTACAATATACAACCTCAACTATAAACCAAATTCAAGACTCTCATGTAATAGATATTACTATTAATCAATTGTGACCATAGATATTACATGCCACTTACCAATCCAATCAAAGGGTAGTCAAGAATGAAATCTTTGGTTCTCAACCACTTCATTGACCACTAGGCCCTCATTTGGCCCAAAAAGGCCGTTTCCATGGTGATCAATACAGAACCAATAGAAACAAATACAATACACAACCAGTAAGGTAGGCCAAAAATGGACTCTTTGTGCAAATTAGCAAATACCATATGATCCAAAAATGCCAATTCAGTGATCCACCAGAACCAAAAGAAACAAAACAACCCACCACCTGTAATAACACTATAACTACATGAATTAGATTAACTTACGCAAGTAACTGGTTTAGAAAGAGCAGAAAGGAAGGACCATTTTATGTTATTAAGCTGATGAGAAGTGAAGAATGTCTTGATAGGTTCATTTGCAGTGCCAGAATCACCCAACCAGTAACATACAAATCCCACCAAGAGCTAGGCCAAAAATGGAATCTTTATGCAATCTCAATTAACCATTTGGCCCAAAAATGTCAATTCCACACTGATCACACCAGAACCAAAAGAAACAGAAACAACCCACAACCAGTAACATATAAACCACATCAAGGGGTAGACCAAAAATGGAATCTTTATGCAATTAAGAAAACACCATTTAACCCAAAAATGCCAATTCCACAGTGATCAAACAAGAATCAAAAGAGACAAAAACAACCCACAACATGTAATAACATAACAAATACATTAATTATACTGACTTACAGTTGCAAGTAACTGGCTTGGAAGGAGCAGAAGGGAAGGACCATTTTGTGTTCTTGAACTGAGGGGAAGTGAACAATCCCTTGATGGGTTCATTAGCAGGGCCAGAATCACCCAACCCATGTAGCCAGAGAATGAAACTTCTAGCCATGGCCTCAGAATTTTTGGGGGGAGATTGGTTTGTTGGCTCGATGAGTCGCACAAAGAAAATGGTGAAACCAAAAGTGATTAGAAGAACTAGAAAGGGTTTTAGTAATGGAACCAATTTCATCTTTGGCCTTCCAAAGGCCTATTGAGCATTCTTTTTTAATTTTAAAAGGAATGAAGATTTTTATTTTTTATTTTTATTATGACGGGTGACTAGGCTAACTTTCATGCATCTCGACTAATTATACAAGATACATGTCATCTCATATCAATAACAACTAACAAGTATCAGGTAACTTTGTTCGTTAAAGCTAAGCCATATAAGAAGAATATAATTACGGATTTATGAAATAATTTTTTTTAGTTATACTCGATATTTATCATAAAACATCTAAATCAACGTCAATATTAATACTCAATAAGAAATATTTCAAGTCCACTAGGTATAGATATTTTTTTGAAGTATAATATGACGTAGCTTAAAAGGTAAATTTATATAGATCTAGATCAAAATGAATAATACGTATATGAATTTGGATCGTGACAAATATAGGTTATCCAACCTGATACAATGTTGGAGCAAACCTTATCGAGGACATTGAGTCACTAAGTAAATGTATATTATGTTCCTAAGCAAATAGGGTTGAAAAGTTTTTAGGCTAGTAAACTTCAAAAAATTTGAGGTGCACATGACACTTTAAATGAATTTCAAATCGATATAGATTCACCAAACACGTTATAGCAATACATTTCCAAAAAATTTCACCAACCACCCTTATAATGGTATGTGACTTCCCTATAGTATAGATTCACCAAACAACACTCAATTATGTTTGGCTCATACATGAATATAGTGTTAAACTATTTGATGCACCTAATTCTCGTTATATATAGAGTTTAAAGAAAGATTAAAAAAACTATCACATATTTCTCCAAAAAGTTATTTTTATAACTCAAATTTGTGATCTTCCCATTCAAACTCCTATTTCACAGTCAAATCATAAACATACCCCAACCCAAGCACACAAAAAATGGATCGTCTCAAACGATTAATATCAATACTTAATGTTACTACCAAACCTGTATTATAGAAATTGATTAAAATTAGCAAAGTTGAAATTCTTTTGATAACCAAAGTCAACAAAATACTACAACTTTTACCAAAAAATAATAATCAAAATACTACAACATATTGCAAGGAAGAAATGACAAAATAATTCCTTTTGTTTGGATAATGTTTAAAAAATATTAACTTAAATATTCTCTTGATCAATTTTAATTTTCTGAATTTTATCGAGTATAAATATATTAAATCTCCGTCAATATTTAACAAATTTTAATCATTAAACTCAACAAAATAAATACATTTTAAGACAAAATTAAAACTCACATTCGAAGATTTATTTATTTTATTTTATAATTTTTACTTTTTTAAATATATTTCTCGTATCTATTAAACTTTCTTGAGGTTTGAAACTGAGCATTTAGACCAGCTATCAAACGACTTTAAGGAATCAAAATTGATTATGAATATAGTTAGGGGACTATTTGTAAACATATTCTAAAACAAGGGACTAGTTTTGTCATCTTCTCACATTAATTATACGACATTAATGTTATTTATTTTATCATAATATACGGAGAAGATTATACAGAGAATCTTCAGAAGCAGAGTTTTTACTTTCATGGCGACTTCAAAGCTCCAGGCTCTATGGAATCATCCTGCTGGACCAAAGACCAGTGAGTTTTTTTTGCTATTTTCTGTTTTTTTTTTTCAATTTATTGAATAGAATTTTCAATTTTTTTCTTAGATTTTTAGATCTACTTTTTAGCCCTTTTGAAATGGAAATTTATCATCGAAGCTTGATTGAGAAAATCCCATATTGTTTCTGTGTGTGTTTTCACTTTTTTGTGTATTTTTTGGTGTTTGATTGTTTATTTTTTGGAGAGATTGGAGAAAAATTGAAAAGAAAAGAAAAGAAAAAGATTAGATTTTTAGGTGAAATTTTATTGTGTATGATTGTTAGATTGTCATTTGTTGAATGATATAGCCATATAGCACATCAAAGTTGATATAAATTGTCCCAATATTGAGGTTGTAATTTACAGATCTGTTAATTGAGTTTCTAAAAGTTGGGGGAAAAGGCAAAGGTTGAGGGACTTGTGTCTTAGGTCACATGTTCGAGGCAACCAATGGTGTGACCTAGTGGTCAATCAAACACTTGATGGACATGTGATAAGTATCTCCTGGAATTAGTCGAGGTGCGGGTAAGTTGGTTTAGACACCACGGTTATCCAAAAAAGTTAAAAAGGTCACAGGTTTGAGACCTGCGCCAAACAAACGAACTAACTAACTAATTAAGATATTTAAGTGGAGAAGGGTAGAGGATCATCCCCGACTTTTGAAGGTTGAGGTTGGCCCAAAGGGTCGGGTCCAGATGGATTTATTAATCATTAAAAAAAAGTTTGTTTGAAGCTGAACAAGCCATTCACATGTTCTGCTTCAGCAATGTCTACATTCACATCTACAAGTGACTTTTGATGCTATTATAATTAACATAATGTATTTTTCACACTTATGTTATGTTTAGTATTTGTTCGGAGTCCTTATTAAATTGGTCATTGCAGGGATACGTGTGAAAATGTCAAGTTTTAGAGAACTCTTTATGATAAATTATTTGGTATTGCAATGAAATGAGCTTGAATAGAGCTAAATGTTTATATAGCATTCATATGATTGATGTCAGCTAGTTGGGATTGAGGTGTAGACGTGTAGTTGATTGATTGATTGATAATGTAATGTATTTGTTGCTGCACATCAATGATAATCATTTGTCCTTCATGGTCATCAAAAATAATTACTCGTCCTTCATTGCCAGATTCATAGTTTGACAAAAAAAATCTTCAATTGTCTTTTTTTGTGATTCTGTTTTTATGTATGGATGTTTTCTATGATGACTGGGAGGTTCGGAATCATTTAAGTGGCTGGCTAAAGTTGCTATTGTTCTTTGAGCTTTCCTATAGCTACTGCACTGTGTGTACAAACATACTTTTTTCTTGTTATTTTGCGGTTTCAGGTTGGTATATTTTACTTATCATATTCTTTGTTAACTGATTTGTTCGCTCGCTGTGTTCTTCTAGTTCATTTCTGGGCACCAACCTTCAAGTGGGGCATCAGTATTGCAAATATTGCAGACTTTGCTAAACCACCAGAAAAGATTTCATATCCTCAGCAAATAGGTATTTCTCACGTCTCACACTCTCTCTCTCTTCATCTATGATGAATCCAGAAAAATATGTAAATAAGCATAATTGGTCATTTTGTCGTCAAGCTTAAACTTTCTATGATATAGTATCTTCCATTTGTTAGATCAACTAGGCTTTTCTGTTTGGTTTTAATTATAAGGTAAGTTACTTTGGTTATTGCAGCGGTTACAGCAACTGGAATTATATGGTCTCGCTATAGCTTGGTAATTACTCCGGTAAGTTCATTATTACTCTGAATCTCAGCAGAAGTTTATCTTTTTATGGTGTGATAGTATGATTGACAGGCAAATAAATCCATGTACTTTGTATTCAGCTGAATCTTTATGTTGGTTTTAGTGTATGATTAGTAGACTAAAGTATATCCTTTTCACATTCAGTCTAGTTTTCATATCGTGTTAAAATCTTTATTCACCAGGCCTAACACTTCACCACAGACCTTCCCCCTACCTTTACGGGGTAGGAAGCCTGTTTTTGATAGACCCTCGGCTCAAAAGAAAAGTAGCACTTTACCTTATAGAGGAAATAAATAATAGTACAACACTTGTACGGTGTCATCACTAATGATTTCCCATGGCACTCTCAACAATGGTTGGAAATTTATCTTATATGTTCTTACAGAGTGTTTTCATTCAAGTAGCTTTTAGTAGATCAAATTGCAGCAAAATAGGTAGTGAGTATAGCTTCTAGACAGTCAAGATGTTCGAAGTGAGGACTAGGTGAGGATTGGGGAAGGGATATGAAGTTATGAACAGAGAATTGCACAACGGAAGGTTTGAGTAAATACATGTATATTGAAGCGAAGCTTTGCTCTCTCTCTTTCTGCCACCAACTCCATACTCCTTCCGCAGTTGGCTGTTGGGGGTGGGTGGGTTTCCTTGATTGGCGACAACACGGAAGTTTAAAGGAAGAAGAGAGAAAAAAGTCTATCTTTCCACCTACACAACTACTGTCTTATACTCTTCCTCTTCTGAAAGTTATTAATGTTGCGTCTTTGTAACTGATGGAAATGTTTTCTATATGGCCACAATCTAAAAAGTGAATATTTACTGTCAGATCAAAAATATAAAAGAGAATCAACCCCCAACCTCGTCTTACTGGTTGCAGTGTTATCATAGAGAAAAGCGTAAAAAAGCTCTTAGGTCCCCAAAAAAGAAAAACTTTTCTGGAGTATTTGCAATGAACAGATGACAAAACAGATAAAATAGAATCAAAACAAGCTGTGGGGCATGAATCTACTTTATTTTCCCCAGTTTGCATTATGACTTTGAAGCCACTTTGATGCTTCTTGGTTTATGTCGTTTTCTCTTTATCTTGTAATCCATACTTGTGAATTGCAGAAAAACTGGAACCTCTTTAGTGTAAATGTGGCAATGGCTGGAACAGGCATATACCAGCTTTCACGAAAAATCCGGTGAGTCAGTTCATGATAGGGAATCCCATCTCTTATAGCTTCTTCTTTTTTCCGTTATAAACTACATTCGTTTTTCTTGATTCAGTAGACATTTTTGTTGCAGCTATAACTTAAGTTTTTTTCTTTTTCGGATTCAGGAATGATTATTTCAACGAGGAGCAACAACCCGCGCTAGCTAAAGAATGATGATGAAAATTGTGATTATTCAGGATCATATAACTCCTGAGCTTTGAATATTGTTCTAGCAATTTGATGATTTACTTCTTCAGATATCACTGTTAATGTGAGACAAGTAACTGAGTGAATAATGATAGTTGATAATTCCATTTGTCGAGTTCAACTATATGAATCTTTTATATCCTTTCGCGTAGAGTTATAAGGCCCATGGGTCTTACTTCTTTCCTAATAAGCCTGGAGAATGAAACAAAGAAAAAAATAAAATTAGAATAAAAGATTCAAATGATGAGAATCAAAGAAATTGAAAAATAATTCATGCGTGAAAAAAGATCAAATATACCTCTAATTGCTAGATGAGTATGACCCTATGGGCCCAACATGTTTATGAACACATATTTTTTCTTCATTCATGATCCTTTTCAAGCCAATCTGGTCTTCCTAATGTTAATTCCAAGCTTGGATTGTTTTTGATGATCCAAATAATTGGAACCTGTATTGTAGCTTTTTGGCCTTGATGAATTATATTCCTGAAATATAATGCAATGGTATCAACTATTACTCTTACACTTAATTAGGACTTATAATGTCTTTTTTAAGAGTATTTAAAAATCTTGAAAGACAAATAACACGATAAATTAGATAACTAGATTTATAAATAAATTAAATACTTCTTGTGGTCCATATTATTTGTCTTTTATCCAAATTGAATTTGTTTTAAATTATGTGATGGCTAATTAGAAAATCAAGAAACTATAATTGAGACGTTTATGAGAGATAACATATAGTAATGGTATATTGTCTTTGTTACTAATATTTGGGCTATAGTAAAAAAAAATAGTTTGGGGTATAAAATATCCCATATATATATATTACTTTACTATATATAATAAGTGGGAATATCTACTACTTAGCACATGACAAGTGTTACATGTGCTTAGATAGTGTTGTACATTCTTCTTTTATGGTTGTACTTTTAAAATTTATATTATTGCACAATTTAACACCATTAATCACAATAATTAATAAGTTAAAACATTTTACTATATATAATAAGTGGGAATATCTACTACTTAGCACATGACAAGTGTTACATGTGCTTAGATAGTGTTGTACATTCTTCTTTTATGGTTGTACCTTTAAAATTTATATTATTGCACAATTTAACACCATTAATCACAATAATTAATAAGTTAAAACATTTTTTAAAAAAAAATGAAAATCTGGATGACTCTCCAAATTTTATTTGTGTCACATAAATTGAGACAACAAAAATAACATATATTGGGTCCATTTTAATTTATTTGTCTTTTTTTGTGTTTTTTATATTTAAAAATTGCGTATAAATACTATAAATCATGATAATTGACAACATAAAATATGTTTTGAAAAAAATACAAAAAATTTCACTGATTCTTCAAGTGAATCTATTGTAAATTTTTTATAAATCATGATAATTGACAACATAAAATATTATTTCAAAAATAAATACATATAAAAAATTTGATCGATTCTTGAAATTAATCTATCGTTACAAATTATGTATAAAATATAATAAATCGTGATAATTGACAACTTAAAATATTTATTAAAAAAACACAAAAAAAGAAATTGACTGATTCTTAAAATTAATCTATCAATGTCACATAAAATGAGACAAAAGTAGTAATATGTATTATTTTTACTATATATAATAAGTGGGAATATCTACTACTTAGCACATGACAAGTGTTACATGTGCTTAGATAGTGTTGTACATTCTTCTTTTATGGTTGTACCTTTAAAAATTATATTATTGGAAAATTTAACACCATTAATCACAATAATTAATAAATTAAAACATTTTTTTAAAAAAAGAAAATCTGGATGACTCTCCAAATTTTATTTGTGTCACATAAATTGAGACAACAAAAATAACATATATTGGATCCATTTTAATTTATTTGTCTTTTTTTTTTGTGTGTTTTTTATATTTAAAAATTGTGTATAAATACTATAAATCATGATAATTGAAAACATAAAATATGTTTTGAAAAAAATACAAAAAATTCCACTGATTCTTGAAGTGAATCTATTGTAAATTTTTTATAAATCATGATAATTGACAACATAAAATATTTCAAAAATAAATACATATAAAATAATTCTATTGATTCTTGAAATTAATCTATCGTTACAAATTATGTATAAAATATAATAAATCGTGATAATTGATAACTTAAAATATTTATTAAAAAAACACAAAAAAAAGAAATTGACTGATTCTTAAAATTAATCTATCAATGTCACATAAAGTGAGACAAAAGTAGTAAGATGTATTATTTAATGTGAAATTATTGAAAACTACGTAAAATGTATTGTAAACCTTAACAATTAACAACATTTGAGTGACTCTTGAAATTTTATCTATGCTACATACATTGAGACAAACGGAGTAATATATATTAAGTATTTAAAATTACGTACAACCTTATTGCTTTCTGTAGGCTTCGAATTATCGTGGTCATTTTTTAGGCTGATACAAGTTTTGTACATTTTCTATTTAATTTTTTTAATATTATAAATCGCAATAATTAATAATTTAATTTTTTTAAAAAAATATATTAAAAATTGAGTTGGTTTTGGGAATTTTATTTATACTATATAAAATGGGACAAAGGAAGCAACATATATCATTTACAAATGACTTAAAAAGTATTAAAAAATACAATAATTATCAAATTAAAATATTTAAAAGTTATATAATAAAATAGCTTCACTCTCAGAATTTTATCAGGCTCACATAATTGGGACAGAAAAAATAACACATATCATTTTAAAATTATCAAAAAAGTATTATAAATAATAATAATTAACAACTTAAAATATCTAAAAGACATTTTAAAAGGGTTAATTTTGTAATTTTATCCATATCACATAAATTAGGACAAAGTGACCAGTAATGTAGGTTATTTGAAAGTTACATAAAAATATTATAAATCACAATAATTAATAAGTTAAAACATTTAAAAAAAAATATGAAAATTTGGATGACTCTCCAAATTTTATTTGTGTCACATAAATTGAGACAACAAAAATAACATATATTGGGTCCATTTTAATTTATTTGTCTTATTTTTTTGTGTTTTTTATTTTTAAAAATTGCACTGATTCTTGAAGTGAATCTATCATAAAAATACTATAAATCATGATAATTGACAACATAAAATATTTCAAAAATGTTGTATAATGGATATGTTGTCTGATACTTAGCACAGTTAATGTGGCGATATGATAAATGAATAGTTAATATCTCAAAAGATCACTCAACTTTAAGAATTTATCTAGTAAAGTCACTGAACTTTATTTTATATCAATAAAATCATTCAACTTATGTCTTTGTATCAATAAAAGCATTAAACTTTAATAGTAATTTATTTAGTCAAGTCATTGAGCTATTTTTTATATAAATAAAATCATTCAACTTAGGCCTTTGTATCAATCAAATCATTCGACTAATTTTATTATTAAAAAAAGGACATAGCAAAATAAATATGTAAATATTTAATAAATTTAATTAATGAAATAAATATTATAATATTATTATGTACTTAAAATTCAAAATGTATCACGATAAACGTTATCCTACCAATAAATACTACTGATATTATCATAGGCGTAATGATAGCAACAAAAAAGTTTATAAGATTTTTTTATAATTCAATGACCACAATAGATTAATATTAGCAGAATTGCAGTTATTAAGCCAACGTCTATTATCATTTTTTTATACGATAAAAAATCATGTATCCCACAATTAGTTGTCATGATAATTTTATACGGATTTTTTTTCTCTCTCTGGAAAAGGATGATCATAATAATTTTAATTATATAGTAATATCCTAATATAATTTTCACTAATTAAGTTTATTTATAAAAAAATCTTGATGATTTTTTTTAAAATTTTATTTATTTATGGAGTTTATATTTATATGGCATAAAAATAATTTATTTATCTATATTAATTTTTTTAATGATAAATTGAGTTGAGTGATTTTATTGATACAAATAGAGTGATTTTGTTAATACTAAATAAAGTTTAATAAATTTACTAGATAAATTCTTAAAGTTGAGTGACCTTTTGAGATATTGACTCGATAAATGAAGCAACAACTTTGCCCCCAAAGACATGAATATGCATATGTTTGCAAATGGGAGTATGATTGACAGGCAAATAATAAATCCATTCTATTTTTTATATTCAGCTGAATCATTATATTGATTTTAGTATATGATTAGTAGACTAAAGTCCAACATCGTCTTACTGGTTGCAGTGTTTTATCGATAATTATAGTTTATTCAACTTCGATTAATATATATTCTTATAATAAATTATTACGACTTCGACAATTTAAAAAGAGTCTCAATTGTATCATACTAACACATTACACATGTATAAATATATATTTAAAAATAAAAAAATACAAACAACTCATTTTCCTTTTGTTAATCAATTACATTTAAATATTAAAATTTTAACTTTTACACATTCAATTTATACTAATACTAGGTTGCATATTTATTAGAATATGTATATATTATGTAACTATATACTTTGATATGATATTCAGTATTTCGATATGTTATTTTCAAATACCAAATACCATAACGAATGCCAATTTTTTTAGGTATACCATATATCATACCAAATATCATAATTATTTTAACGAGGAGCAACAACTTGTGATTAGTCAGCTGGACTATTGAATTCCTTTTGCTACTACTTATATCTTAAAAAATATTATTTTTTTGCTTTCCATCAGAAGCAACCTCTCTATCTGTCATGGTAGAAGTAAGTTCTACGTACATTCTATCCTCCCAAACCCCACTCGTGAAACTATATTGGGTATGTTGTTATTGTAGCTCTACTCCACCATACTTGTTGTGATACTTACCGCGGTTAACAAAGTTTTGGATCATTTATCATTTCTTTCTTGCAATTTCAGTTACAAAATCAGCTAAACTTTAAAAAATTGCAGAAAAAAAAAATTGTTCTCCAGTTATTGTATTACTTTTGTGCTTCGTATCTTCAGTAAACAATTGAGATAAACTACCCAGTGTGCATGCCTATAATTAAGGTGAACAAACTACACAATTGATAACAAAAAGCTGAACAAGACAATGGGGTTAGATGGGGCAGGGCAAAGCGGAGCTAAACGGGGAAGGGGAGGGTGAAATCTTAGAAGGGGAAGACTTAAACCCCCCCGCCCCGCTGCCATCTCTAGTTCACTTTGTCCAATTTATCCTCTTCTGTCTGAATGGTTTTCGAGTCAGCATCGTTTTCCTCATGACCCGTGAATCCCACAGACAAGTCCAATGTGTTTTCTTTTAAATCTGGTCGTTCTGGAGGTTTATCCTCTGGATCCTGATGTTTAAAAAAGCAATTAGAAGAAGCTCATACATATTATACTTGCAAAGTTAAAGAACACAGCACCGGGAACAAACAAAACAGAACAAAACAAAGGAAGTATACTATTGTTCTCATTTTTGAAGAAAAAAGAGGCGAAAGGGGAAAACTTGCTATTCATATCCAGCTATCAAAAAATTAATTAGTGTTACTTGAAACAGAATCCTCCATCCCTGATCCCTCAAATCAACTGAAATATCTCTCTTTTAGGCCCCTCTATGTTAGTCTCTATTCCCCCCTCCAACCTGCAGCATTTCTTTCTCTTTACCCGATAAAAGGATAAGAGAAGCACTATATTAGTGTTCTTTGAAGCGACTTCTGATTCCAGCCAGCATCACGACTTTTTGAAAGGGACAATAGAAAACCCCAAGTAAATGTTGATCCTACCTCCATCTCTTATTTGGCCCCAAAATCATCATTAGTTCAAGAAACTTGACAGATGAATCCATTTTCTACTGGCATATTAGGAGGCTTTCATTATTCTCTTGGTGAGTTTGATTCTTTTGTGATTAAATAAACCAATTAACACATCCGTTTCTATCCATAGCAGGACATAGTTCTTTTAGACAGATTATTCTGAAGTAGTCTAAAGATCAACCAAAAACTTGATAACACAAAAAGACTATAACATGCTCAAAGAATGGAGATAGGAAATATGTTAACATGAATTGAACAGAACCCGAGTTACACAAACACAAAAAATATTAAGCTGCATGAAGTCCATTGGTGATTCAAAGTGGAGGAAAAAATAGAAACAAATAACTAAGCTATTATTTCATGTGATCCCCAAAATCACATTTAAACAGATTCATACTGCTTGTTTTGTATAATGAGTCAAGAACACAAAAAAAACAGATATAAATGGTACAACAGTCAATTATGTGCCTGTTCTTTTTTCCATTAGCATTTTCCCTATCAAAGTTGTTCACCTTGGGAGAGTGGAAGGTTTTAAAGTACCTGATTTTCTTCCATCGGCACATCATTGATGTCAGGTTTTTCATCACAATCATCAGCTTGAGATGTTGGCTCCCCCGTATTTGCATCAGCCACCATTGGTTTAGCTTCATCCTCATCCTGGTCTGATGTCTCATTATTTTGATTTTCAAGCAGAGCAACCTATCTCAACCATTTCAAAAATGAAAATTATTATCACTTCTTTTTTTTATAGGTATTAACGAAAATATGAAATTATTATCAATTGGCAAAATCAGAACTATTTCCTTACTGATGTACTAGAAGCAATCCTGACTGAGGGAAAATATATAAAAATCATTTTGGCAATCCCCAGATTACTCAAGTACAACAACAAGATCAATCTGCTAAAGGTAAATACGGTATTAGGTGTGATAAGTGATGAGAGTAGTATCTACCCTTATCAATGACGAGTGATGATTACTAACACGGGAAAGGAAAAATATTCAAATGTCAAATGAAAAGAAAGATCAGGTAAGCTTTATGATAAGAAAATTGACAAGCCCTATGCTCTTAATTAGCAGTTGTGACTTAATTTGGCATTACCTCCTTACATCCACCAGACATAAGAGAAGGTTTATGATAACTGAAGGAAAACTATTGAAAACTAAGTAAGTGTTCTCCTTTGATTGCACGTATTCACAGCATATCTTGGAGGTACTAAATAAGGGACCAGTATGAAGCAACTACCGTGGCTCATATTATAATGGCTTCACCTAGCTACTAGAGGAAATCTACAAGTTAAATCATCTCTTCAGGTTTCAAACAACCAACAAAAAGCACATAAGCGCAGATACATACAAAACGGAATCAGTAATTAAACGCATCAATCTTCATACACACCCTCGGTCTGTCTCTCCACTAATACGCTCACTCTGACCATAACATATTCGTGAAATCTTATATTGTTAACTTTCTTGTCCGTTCTGATGTATAGATAGTCCCCACATTGACATGAAAAAACAGCAAGCGACATAAAAGAACAAGTTCTGGATGCCCGGATGTCCAGGAGTACTTCTATTACTTGCACCATGTTTTATACAAGTGGTATATGGGCAACTGAGAACGGACAAGACAAAAAGATTGTGTCTTACATACTTAACTTAAATATCTGTCAACAAAAACTTACGTCTTTATCTGGTAGGTAGCAAAATCACTATTCAAAAATGATATAATAATCAAGGGGAGATGTATCCAGCACCAGAACCAATTTTCAGATAAAAAACTTGCAGCCTATGAAGTACAACAGTTATATATAGTTCTTACACCTCAATCGAGTTGGTAACTTCTACATTTTTTTTCTCAGTCCACATCTTGCCAACCTAAATAACTTAGCAAATCTCCAAATCTCACAATTTAAAACCAAAAATTAGCTTTTGTGTTTAATCAAAAGCAATTTATAACAGCCCCATGGCCATGCCATTTGATGTCAGATCTACACGAAACATGACAAATCCGTGAACCTTATTCACAATTAAACCAATTTCTCCACTTCTTTCCAAAAACCCAATTAGTAATATCAATACATTCAAATCTCTGTCTATTTACCTTGTTTTCTAGGTTCAGTACCTTGCTTTCAAGTAACTAGACTGTGTACGTAACACATACCCAATGTAATTCCACAAGTAGGGTCGAAGGAGAGTAGAGTGTATGCAGACCATACCCCTACCTCGTAAAGATAGAGAGGTTGTTTTCGACAGACCCTCGACTTAAAATAAACACTTCCAAGCAATTTCAAAAAGAGAATACAAAAATGAGGACACTAACAACAACAAAATACTATGAAGGAGAGCAGTGCGTACATAATATATAAGGGAAAGAATAGTAATCGCAACAAAGTAATGTGACAATCGAAGCATAAAAAACAAAGGTGATAACCAAAATCAAAGAACAAGAAACCACCAATGATGTCAACTAATATAACTTTGGTGAAGTTGATTCCCAAAATGGACTAATTTCACTTCCAAAAATCGTGCAAAACATAAAAAGATTCTCACTTGAGTTTGCACTCCCACACGATATGCAAGTAAAGGATTTGTTCAGACCAGGGGCGGATCTAGGGGTCCGAGAGGGTGTTCACCCAAATATATATATAAGTTTTTTTTTTTTTTTTCTTTAATGTATATCTAGATTTTGAATCTCCTAAACATAAGATTAAAGATTGACTTGGTGGTTGAGTGGGTTCAAAATTCAACTTGAGGTTCTAAGTTCAAATCTCGAACACTACATTTATATTTATTGAATCCCCTTCGTAAAAATCCGGAATCCACAGACCTTAAGCCCAAATAGTTCTCTCCCACCAAATTAATTTCCCTCCCTAAATAGAATGGCATTATATTTAATTTTTAAAAAATAAGAAAAAGTACACCATATACAGTTCATTGTTTAAATAGCTCAACATTGAAATACACTACAGTACAGAAATGATCTATATAATAAGCAGTAAAAATCATTAAAAAATAATTTATTTATTACCGGAATATACTTGAATTTACGTTTGGGAGGTTCCTCGATCGGAACGTCATCGTCCTTATCGGGGCTTTTGGAATCGCCATCCTTATCGGCGCTAATGTTATTGTTGTTGTTATTTTGGCTGGCAGTAATCGGAGTCCACTTCAAAAACACGAGATGAGAGCCATTACTGCCATTAACTCCGCCGTTAGCGGCGGCTGATTGGTGATTGTTTTTACCGGAGCTGACGTGAACCCATTTCTTCTTCCATCTCCGAACCGGACCGGTGAATACAGTGGTCGGACCGTACCTAGTTGATGAACGGCCGAATCTGGCACCTACTCCTTCCATTCACGGCGGCGTATCAGTGGTAACTCACGGCGGAGAATTATTTTCCGATCCCGGAATATTTAATTATTTTTATTTTTTTGATCTATGGGTATTTATAGCTTCGCTTCTGAGTGATCAAGTGTGTGAAGGTCTATGACAAGGAATTTAGGAGTTATCTGGACCGTTGATTAATGTTTATTTTCAGTATTTTTATACTGTAATTTAGAGACTTTAATTGTATTATTAAGTATTTACTTAAATAATTTTATTGCTTGGTTAAGAGAATCGAATCCACTAATTAAATGGACGCGATAGAAAATTAGGTTTAATAAGAAAGTCAAATCTTTTTTTCGAGAAGAGTCATAAACACACTTCAAACATTTGATTTATTTAGTCAAATTCAACTCTACAAATTATTTTTATAACCTTTATATAAGCAAATAGATCACTATAATCTTTGACTTTTTTTAATAATGTTTTTAGAATTATGATGTAAGAATATTCTTACAATTAATAATATTTCACTTTTAAAGATCATCTTGAACTCTTTTTTGTAAAAAAATTTGTTAATTTTCGTCACAACTTTCTTCCATAATTTTAAAAGATAAGTTGTTGGATTTTATGTAATCAATATAACACATATGTTAGATAATCGAGTAGATTTAACTAAACTAATAAAAATAAATAATGTGTCATTTTATGTTGAAGCATCGGAAATATGACTACACACTCATATGATTTTTGTCGAGTGATAGAAATATTTGATGAAATTGGTGAATTATACTATTAATTGTAAAAAGATTTGCTATTTTTTTGTCACAACTTTCCTCCATAGGTTTTAAAAATAAGTAGTTGGATTTTATGTAATTGATAAAATAATGTCATTTTATGTTGAAGCATTTGAAACAAAAAATAATATATCATTTTATGTTGAAACATAATTACACACTCACGTAATCTTTGTCAAGATATAATTTTTTTTGATGGAATTGATGAATTACACTTGCTTATGATGAATGGACAAATTAAAGACTCGTGATATCTACCCGCCTTTCTTTCATTGTTTTGAGAATTGGGTGAACGAAAATAAGTGTGTATACATAGTCACACACTTAGTGGAGCAATGCTAAAAATAGGGAATGAGTACTTGTATAAACTCTCATATTTTCACTAATTCTATCACGTCTATGATATATAATTGTCATTTTCAAATCAAGCTTTTGGCGTATACTTTAAATTGTCTGAAGCAATAACATAAATTATTTTTCTAAACTTATAGGTCAAGTTAAAATTTCTAGAATAGGTATGTTCGAATTTAATTCAATTTAATTTAATTTTTTAAATTAGCAAAATAAGATAATTAATATGAGAAGGAATGAAGGAAAATCTTAAATTCCCTATTTTAAATCATGGGCTAAGAATTATTTATCTAGTTTTGGTTTTTAAAAAATAAAATAAAAAATATGTTAATTATTTCTTTGCAAATTTAGTAAATACTCACCCTCTCTAAAGTTCCCTCCTGCACCACCACTTCCCGCCTCCCTTCTCCTCTCCACCGCCGGCCGCCAACCTCCGCCGTCAACCTCCGTCGTTCACTTCCGATATCAATGGAAGCTCAAAATTTATCTTTTGGGCTTTCCTCTACCTTACCCACTTCACCAATTCAAAACCAAAAAAATCCATTCTTTCAGATTTTGCTCAAACCATCTTCTTCTTCAAATAATCTTATCCTTAAAGGGGTTTTCTTGAAACCCCATGTTTCTTTTTCTCCTAAAAATTTCCCCAGCAAGGAATTTTTCCAGTGTAGGAATTGTTTGCAAAGAACTGAAAGAGAAGCTACTACAGTTCCTGATAGTGGTGTGAATAAAGAACTTAGAAAGAAGAAGCTTGCAGTGTTTGTATCTGGTGGAGGTTCAAATTTCAGGTCAATTTATGAAGCTACACTTGAAGGGACTGTTCATGGAGAGGTAGCTGTTTTAGTTACCAATAAAAATGGTAGGGTGTTTCTTTTTTAAAGTTTTGTTTTTTCAGTTTATTTCAAGATTTGATTTTAATTGGTGTTTGATCCCTGTCTATTTGAGATTTTGGTAAAGCTCTAAGCTTTAACATATAATGAGCTGAGGGACTATCGGAAACAACTTCTCTACCCATGAGATTTTGGTAAAGCTCTGAGCTTTAACATATAATGAGCTGAGGGACTATCGGAAACAACTTCTCTACCCAACAAAGGTAGAGGTAAGGTCTGTGTATATGTTACATCTCCAGACCCCACGTGTGGCATTACATTGGGTGTGGTGTTGTTGTAGGTAGGTGATACATATTAGTTGAGATATTTATGGTATATTCAAGGTCATGATTATTCTTATGTATATACAATAGATGCGGAATCCTCTTAGCTTCCTTCCGTGTATTTACCTCTTTTGCATAGCCTTACTTGAAAATCCCAGCTCCATATTTTGCATAGCCTTACGTGAAAATCCCAGCTCCACCATTGGTCGTTTGCTTTTTTGTAGTAGTTTAGCCTTTCAGAGAGTATACATTTAGAAATTTAGAGAACTTCTAATACTTCCGACTTAATTTGCATTATATTGGCATGAGATGAGTTTAAAATGGAGTAACATGGTCAATGAGGATTCATATAACCGACACCAACTTATTTGAGGCTCGAGCATAATTGTTGTTGTTGTTATTATTGTATTTCAAGATTATTTGTTGTATGCTTTTGGTACTTGTTTATTTGAGTTTTCGTAAATCTTCGACCTTTAACAGCTTATGTAGGTATAGGTGATACACATTAGTTGAGATTATGTATTAGATATTATCACTTTCAGTGTAGGTCATATGCTTTCTAGGATTGGTTAGCCTGTGAGAGATTATACGTCTAGAAAATATAGAGAACTTCTTCTACGTCTTACTTAAATTACAAATAATATGAGTTTAAATGGAGTAATGTGGTCAATGAGGATTCATATTGCCGACCCTACATGTTTGAGACTTGGGCATTATTGTTGTTATCGTTATTATTGTATTTCAGGATTGTTGATTGTTGGCTTTTAGGTCCCTGCCTATTTGAGATTTTGGTAAGCTATGAGCTTTAGAGAAAAACTTGTACTTTCAGCCTCTTTGTATTGCAACTGTCTTGATTAATTTTGCCAAGAGTGTAATTTCTATTCATCGTGTCCTTACGTCGGGCTTCATCTGTATTCCTTCTTTTGTTTCTTTCGTCCTGAAATTTTGTTATTCTTAGGTGTATTAACAGTTTGCATGTTAAAGCTAGTGTGACTTTATAAATGAGTATGCTGTGTTGAAAATGAAATTACATTGGCGATGGACTTTTTCTTTCCCACTCATGATGAGATGTTCCCATGATACAATATCTGCTAGATTTTTTTTGGCGGAAGCACTTGGAAATTTCAGATATTTCTGTTTCAACTAAAGTTTCCACAGCTTTATACCTGAAGATATATGCGTATTCAATTGTCTTATTGTAGTTGTCACTCATCTTTTCATTTAGATTTGTTTTTGTTATGAAATGCAGATTGTGGAGGTGCAAAGTATGCAAGGGAGCAAGGCATTCCTGTTATTTTGTTTCCTAAAGCAAAGAATTCATCGGAGGGTTTATCGGAGGAGGATCTCGTGGGTTCTCTAAGGTTTTTTCTTCTCTATTCATGTCTCTTCTATTGATCTAACTGCTTCAGTAGTTAGTTTGTGCAAAAAAGATGTCGTCTTCCTTGAAATTAGGCTGTAACACAATCAGCTCCTCTTCTTTTATGTTTTTCCTTACTTTTTCTTCTGGGATGATTAGCAGAAGAAAAATGGTATCTGAATAGAAGGAAATTTACTTGTACTGCGACTGTTTCATGAGGATTTTGAATTTTGAGACATTTAAGCACAAAAGATTGATGTGGTTTAAGTCAAGTTCTTTTCATCAATATGGTGAAACTTTTGGTTCTATTAAGCTTTCTTCTAGTTCCTGAATTCTTTGACGGCTTGCAACCATTCGGGCTTCAATCACGGAGCAAAGATGCCTCAAGAAACCATTTAACAGTAACCGAGTATTTCGAAGAGAATTCTGCACATCTATCAAAGTTCCTGTCTTTCTCAGTTGCATTTATTGATACCATATTCTTTCACTGTTTGTTCTTCTGCTCACCAGCGGCCTATTCTAAAATATTCACCTAATTTTGACATAAGCTCTGGTTAATTGAAACTTAGAGTTATTCGGTTAAACACTTCTCATTTTGTTCACCTTTCTTTATTTTGGTCTTCCTTTTCATTTTGCCCTTGGTTTCTTCTACTTGGAGCGAAATGATTATTACAGAAGAAATGGGAAAGTAAATGTGAACAAAAGCATGTAAACCATGATAAACATCTATATTTCTTGCCTGTTTACTCTCTTCTCTGTGTATGAATAGTTTTCATACTCATTAGTTATTTGTACGAGGATGGATATCATCTAAAGGGAGATTGGAGGAGTCGTTTGGTATGAGAGATAAGGGATAATAATCCCAGGATAGAATGCAGGATTATTTTATCCTGCGTTTGCTTTTGGGTATTAATTAATCCCGGGATTATTTATCCATCATTTGTACTACAATGTGGGATAACTTCGTCTATCCCATCCCCATACCAAACGATCCCTTAGTGTATGACATGAATAATCTTAGTTGTCTTCGTTGTTTTACTGAAGTTATTTCCTCATATTCTTCTCCGTTATAATAAACAAACTTTTGTTTACAGAGCCTATAATATCGACTTCATTCTTTTAGCTGGGTACTTAAAGCTTATTCCTACTGAGTTAGTCCAAGCATTTCCAAGATCGATATTTAATATTCATCCGTCACTTCTTCCATCTTTTGGAGGCAAAGGCTACTATGGCATAAAGGTGCATAAAGCAGTCATAGCTTCTGGAGCTAGGTATGTATTGTATTTGCTATCAAAACGGAATTATTCTTGTTAATCAAGTATCTCGCTTCTCCTTCCTCATCATTGCACATTAGATAGTTGCTAAACAAAAAAGAGTACCACCGTTCAGCTTGTGAATTGCAAATTGAGTGCTTAGTTGAAGACTTAAATACTCAATGTGACTCGTGTTTCCTCTATAGTTAAAACCAACAAATTGTATTTCAGAGAAATGTGATCTAGGAACATTTTTTAGATCATATCCGATAATGTAGCATCTTTTTCCTGAAATGTTGAGGATTCAGATTCTTCAAAAAAACCATTTCTATTTTGCTAGTTTTTACTATGAAGATTTGTATTCACATTTTGAGTTGGAAGTCCTTACTCCATTATCTCTGAATTTTCCCATAAATTGTAATAAACTAAAGACAATTCCTATCATCATTTAAGCAAGTATTTGTAATTAATTGTTTACTTGGCTGTTTCATGCCGATATTGTTACGTGTGAATTCTGCTTAATTTCAGTTTATCATGTCCACCCTTCAAAAATATTAAGCACCTAACCTTGATTTTTGTTGCATTTGGGATAGGTTTAGTTTTTTCCGTCCAATGCTTTGGATCCTCATTTAGCTCCAAACACAAGTAATTCACTTTTCTGGCTGTTATTTGCTATCTGTAGGTATTCAGGTCCTACGATCCATTATGTCGATGAGCATTATGACACTGGACGTATTCTTGCTCAAGGGGTCGTGCCTGTGCTGGCTAATGACACAGCAGAAACACTTGCAGCAAGGGTTCTTCAGGAGGTCATAATTTCTTTTAACATTTCTTGTTATGAGTGTATTATTGTTGTCGCCATCAATATTGAATTTTCGTGCTGCATGTGTAAAGTAAATCTCTAGGTCTTCCCCATGTTTCTGATCATTACCTTACGTTGCACTACCAGTCCCGCAAAAAACATGTATGGTTTCAGGAAAAGGGATCCCCTGAATATTAGGTAGGTGTTGTTAAACCGGGGTAAATAAGCCGACAAGGAGTTCCATTAATAATTGGCCGTTTTGACCCCTTGGAACAACTCGATGAATTTAGTTGAACGTTTTAGGAGGCCTTTGTGACTATAGATTGAACCTATCCAATTTTTACTGTACGATTTTGGCTGCAAGTTCTTTTCAATCTATGTATCTATTCAACAAATCAGTAGCATTATTGTTTATCAACACGCATGGTCTCAGATTTACAACTCGTGTTACCTATCTCTCTATCTTTTTCCCCTGTCCGTTTAGTGTTCCCTGAAGACAAGCAATATCAACACTCCTCCCTTTTAGGGTAGCCACTGATTCCATCAATGTCCCTATCAAAGTGCTTATGTTCCATCGAATCCAACTCGTGTTATTGCTTGTCCATTCCTCTCTTTTTTCGCTGCAATCTTTACACTAACGCTCTTCTTTAACAGGAGCATAAGCTTTACGTAGAAGTAGCCGCAGCATTATGTGAAGAGAGAATCGTGTGGCGTGAAGATGGTGTCCCTCTCATCCGGAGCAAAGAAGATCCCAATCATTACAAGTAGATAACAAAGCCAGAGGTTAGCAACTCCGCGGCTAGAAGTATTCGTTACTGAGCTCTGTGTTGACACTAACGTAGTTTTGGTACATATGCCTCGTGGAAGGCGTACCAGCGTCCTTAATTGTTCAATTTACCATTATACCATAGAAAATTCAACATATGTAGACGAATATTGTATGTCTATGACAAAGTTTTGTACCAATATGTTTTGACAACTTTTTATTTTTTCATCTATGAAAGAAATAGCTTGTTGTTTCTTGACATTGCTGGATATTATGAAGATATCATGTTCTATGTTTCTCATATTATTAATCCTCTACTTTTGAGACGGTTAAACGGACGTTTAAAACCAAACAAATGAATGCAAAATATGTGTCTTTCATATGTACAATTTATTATTTAACCAATCATAATTAAGTGATGGTATATATTTTTCACTTCGATTTTTAATTATTAAGGTTAAATTGCTAGGCGTTTGACTGTTTACATCACATTTCTTCTTGAACCTTGCTAACAGTTGTATACTTTGAGCGTTATACTCTTATTTGGAGAAGGCAATAACGTTAAGGGAAATACAAGTAGTCAAAAGCAAGTAACATATGAAATGAGGAAAATAACTTCTCTAGTGAAACAAAAAAAAAAAAAACTAAGTTGCACAAGTGGATTCCACACTTTGGAGTTTGGTCTGCTCTCGATCCTCCAATACCAACCCCCACCCTATAGTTCCATTTCCATCACTCTCACACCTCTATTGTGTTTGCCGAAATCATATACAAATACTTTTGAGATTTAAAACATTTTTGCTTAGGTATCAAACATGAAAAATATAAGGAAAAAGGTTGATATATTCTTTAATTTTGCGATTTAGAGCTAATATACCTCTTATTACAAAAGTGGCTCAGATTACTCCTACCATTACACAAATGACTCAGATATACCCTTACCGTTACACAAATGACTTAAATATACCCTTACTGTTATACAAATGAGTTGATACACACTTACCGTTACACAAATGACCCAAATATATCCTTTTCGTCCAATGGAAGTGATTTTTTTGGGTTTTTTTATGTACCAGTAAAGGTATATGTAGCCACTTTTGTAACGAGTGATATATCAACCCTAAATCGCAAAGTTGAGGAGTATATCAGAGCCTTTATAAAATGATTACTTATGGCACACCCTGTATAACTTATCAAATCTAATCCGGCCCATATAAGACATTGGGCTCTTAGTCCATATAAGCCCACATAAACAGCAAAAAATTTCTGTCACTCTTACAAACCCTCAGTAACTCCATATATAAATCAAGCTTCTAGGGTTAGGGTTTCATTGAATCAGCAAACTGCAAAGAAGAAACTTCAGCAATGGCCGCCAAGAAGACTGCCCGGAATCCGGAGCTGATTCGTGGAGTGGGAAAATTTTCCCGTTCCAAGATGTACCACAAGAAGGGTCTTTGGGCCATTAAGAAGAAGAACGGCGGCGCTTTACCCGTTCACTCAAAAAAACCCGCCGCAGCTCCGGCGGCTGAGAAAGCCCCAAAATTCTACCCCGCCGATGACGTGAAGAAACCCCTTGTTAACAAACACAAACCAAAACCCACTAAGCTTAGGTCAAGTATTACACCTGGTACTGTTTTGATTATCCTTGCTGGAAGGTTTAAGGGTAAAAGAGTCGTGTTTTTGAAGCAGCTTGTTTCTGGTTTGCTTCTTGTTACTGGTCCATTTAAGTTTAATGGAGTTCCTTTAAGGCGTGTGAATCAAGCTTATGTTATTGGTACCTCGACAAAGGTGGATATTTCTGGAGTGAGTGTTGATAAGATTGATGATAAGTACTTTGCTAAACAAGCTGAGAAGAAGCAGAAGAAGGGAGAAGGAGAGTTTTTTGAAGAAAAGAAAGAGGTTTGATTTCTTATTTTTGCTCATTTTCAGTTAATGATTGAATGTGTTCTCCATTTTGTGGTTAAAGAATGGATCTTTATAGTTAGTATATGCTTATGGATTGGATTTTTTGCTAATTCTATGCTTGAAAGATTAGTTCTTTTTGTTTATTTGTGTGATTAGGCAGTAGATTATTGTGTCTTGTGAAATGCTGTGATCTCTTATGCTGATCTTATGTGAATATAACTGAAGAAACTTGGTTAGTGAGTATGCATAGATAATAAGTTGTATGAAAATTAGCAAATTCCATTGACATTGTAATTTGTGGAGGCATTTTCTGGTTCCCCGGGCAGAGGATGCTTAATATTGTAATTTGCTTGAATAACTCTGTTTGGTAATGAGGAAACATGGTTAGTGACATTCATAGGTAAGTTGTCTCATTTTGTGATGAGAAATCTAAGAATGAAAATGAGCATTGACATTGACAATCGTATTACTGAAACTTGAAACTTGACGTGTCCTGTACATCTAACATTAACAATTGGATTATTAAAACTTGCTTCATAAATAACTCAATTTGGCAATGGAGAAACATAGTGTTAGTGAGTATTGTTAGGTAAGAGTTTATTTTTCATATATGTGAACGAAAATTAGCAAATTTCATATCTATGCCTGTAATTCTATACTATTATTCAAACTTGCTTGAACACGAATGATGTATTTCGATATTCAACATATTGATCTTTTTCTATTTGGTAATTCTGTAGGAGAAGAATGTGCTTCCTCAGGAGAAGAAGGATGACCAGAAGGCTGTTGATGCAGCATTGATCAAGGCCATCGAGGCTGTTCCTGAATTGAAGGGTTACTTGTCTGCAAGGTTCTCGCTCAAGTCGGGCATGAAACCCCATGAGCTTGTCTTTTAGACCAGATAATTAAACTACTTTTGATGAAATTGATTTTGTTAGATCTATTTTGTTTATGTTCTGTTTTGAACCTGCGTTTAGTCTTTGTATTGAAGATTTTGTTGGTTATAAACATCTTAAGTTGAAATATGCAATATGAGATTTGCTCCTTTTTTGTCCTAGTATTTTTTGTTGTTATAAAGGTAAATGCTGGAGAGCTCAATGGTTTGTTAACTGAAAGCTTCATTTACCAAGAGTAGGGAGAAATTGAGTATCCTTGATCTTGACTGCCATTGTGGCTGTAGCAATACAAATAGATTATTGTCTGAGAAGTTTACTGGCTGGTTGTTGTTCTTTGTTAGGATATCTGCTTACCGAACTTCTTACATATTGCATGACATTTGTGGATCATGTCTTATACGTCTAGTGTCGTTTGCTGATGTTTGTTCATATTACATGATAGTTGTGAGCATATGTTGTATTCTGTGTACATGTTTTGGCTGTTGGATGAGAAGGGGAGAAGATGGAAATGGCTTAGAATTTAGCCTTTCTAAGAGACCCTTGTCTTAAATCAATTCATCTATGCACTTTCCAGGCTCACTGCCTTGGTTCCCGGCAGTTTGCGTATATGGGTGCTTACAACACAAACAATATATACAGTTTTTCGCCTTTCTGTAGTTTTTCAGTAATGTGTCTTGTGTATCGATAAGCTAGGGTTATCTTTAATGTAGACAAGCATCCTGAACTTGTACACTAAATCTTTTCACCAATTCAACTTATGTTCATTGAGCTCTTTATATATGTCTATTGAACTAGTTTATGATTGCTGTATATTGAACTACGACATCTATTTTTTGCTAAATAATATAAAGGTCATCATAAAAATAATAAAATCATCATGTTTCATCAGTTCTTTTGCTTACTATCGTGAACATGTTATTATTAAGTAGATGTGATCAATAATTTTATTCTATTAATTAAAAGTGGTCTCCATAAAGTCAAAAGTTAAATATACTTTTCCAATTAATCAGATTTATTTTGTTATCTATTACCATATATGCCTCTCCAAACCTACCAGATGAGATTATATTGAAAAGGGAAAAGGCTCAAATATGCCATCAAACTTTTAGAAAAGGCTCATTTATGCCATCCGTTATAAGTTTGGCTCATTTATGCCATTGTTGTTAAAGAAAAGGCTCATCCATGCCATTTTTTTCAACTCCGGTTTTGCAAAATCATTTTTTACACACCAAACATGGTTTACCACTTTTCTATTGGTGTTTTTAGATCAAATGTACATTTTTTGATTCTACATCCTTAAGAACACCAAGAACACATAAAGAACATTAACAATTCCCAAATTTCAAACTTATTCAATTCTTCATGAATCGCCTCAAATTTCAAGAGTAGTTTCGCTCCGAGCTAGATACCAAAACTCAATTTCTTTTGAGCTCGAATTCAACCTAACTCAACAAGATCCAATTGAAATTTCTTCAAAGTTTCAAAACTTGAACATTCTTTAATGGTAGATTCTCCAAAACTTCAAATCATTTGAAATTTTGAACATAAACTCAAAAAACACTAGTCAACAAAGATCTAATGTTAAAAACAAGAATCAAAGCAAATTTGAAATTTTGGGATTGATTTTCGTTTTTTGGAATATATTTTTTAAATATGGGTGAATTTTTTGAACTCTACAAATGATTTTAGAGTTTTTTTAAAAAAAAAAGAAATTAATGATGTAGCCGAAATTTGAGATGATTTCGTGAAGAATTGAAGATGTTGAAAATTTTGGAGTTGTTTATGTTCTTCATGTGTTCTTGGTGTTTTTAAAGAAAAACAAGCAAAAAGTATACATTTGATCCAAAAATTCCAATTAAAAAGTGTTAAACCATGTTTGGGGTATAAAGAAATGGTTTTGCAAAACTAGAGTTAAAAAAATGGCATGGATGAGCCTTTTCTTTAACAGCAATGGCATATATGAGCCAAACTTTTAACGGATGACATAAATGAGCCTTTTCTAAAAGTTCGATGGCATATTTGAGCCTTTTCCCTATTGAAAATACGTATTTATGCCTTTAGGGTCCGTTTGATTAGAAATCGGGATATTATGATCCTGGATTAACTTGGATAATGTATGAACCTATGAGATATATTATTCAGATTATAGTTCTTGTCGGACCCCAAATATTCTAAATTCTAAATCGGGTGACTTTGGCTTTCTTTTATTTACTCCGATGAGGACTTGAAAGTGAGCTGACTTACATTATACTCCTTTTTGAAAATGTTGAATGTGCACCTGACAAGCAAAGGTTCTCGAAACTGCTTTTACGGCTACCAAGCAATCAATCAATCCTCCACATTCCCGCACTAAGATATAGAATGTTAAAAGCACGCCATAACCACCTAATCCTTACGAGTTACGACCGAAGGACCTCTAATCATTCACTTAATAAATAGAACATTTTATCAGACTATGTTTGCTA